ATAATTTACCTAAGTTGGCAAACTCAAAGTAGGAGTGTTGTCTGCCCTTTCCTTGTTCAGATGCATTACAGTAGAGGTAGGGGCAGCAGTTTACTTTGAGGCTTTGAGGATTGAGCTGAGGTCTTTGGTTTAGTTTTGTTTTTTTTTTTTCAGCTAAGGAACCCAGCATGACTAAACTGTGCCTTGATTTGTGATAAATTCAGATTTCTTTCTGCTCTCCCTGCTAGCATGCTGATACTGTAAAAAGTTGTTCAGACAAGATAGAACAGTTGCATTTGTGTTTGTATACAGACTAAATGGTACAATTTTTGAGACTTATGGCAGTAATTTTTTTACTACCTCCTAAGGTTAGTTCTCATGTAGAAATGCTTTTTTACCCTGTTTTAAATGCTCTTCAGGTGCTGTATCGAGCAATACTCTTTGGGGGTTGTTTCCCCTTTTCATCTGCCATTCAAAAGCTGTATGGCTGAGTGACAGATGGAGCCAAACTTTCACTGTGCTTAGAGGAGAACAGCTTAACTCTCTAGCCACGCAACATTTTCTTCAGGGCAAGCTGAACAGCCTTCTCAGCTGGGTGCTATAATTAGTCCATGGATATCTAGTTTAAGTATAGGCGCCTGAATTTCAGACTTAATGGGAGCTGAATGAGCCTTTACTTTTGCAAAATATTGTGCAAAACTAGGGAGTAGCAGGTTCTGTACCATTAGAAAAAGTATTTGAGAGCGTCCATTAAACTTTCCTTAAATAATCCCATCTTGTCAATTTGAAAATGGTTCTTCTCCTTTAATAAATTCAAATTCCCCTTAAAAAAAACTCAACCCACCCCCCAAAACCCCTGAAACCATTACCAAAACAAAAATACAACCATATTTTAAAATCTGAAGTTAAAAAGTTTAATTCCTTTGCATTGGAGGTCTTTGGTCTCTGGTGTCCTTGCAATACTCATTGACATTAAGTCCTCCTCAATTCAGCTACTTCTGTTTCAGATTCACAAAGGTGCTGTTGATGCCTGGCTCAAGCATTACTAAAAACTAGTTAGAGCATCTGAGGTGAGAAAAGCCAAGGCATCCAGCACACCTCCCACTACTTCTATTCCTGTACTCACTCCTAGAACACTTGTAATGTAGACAGAATTTTTAAATGCTTGATGAGAATTACTGGGAAAGTGACTATGTGGAGAACACAGATGATTTACATATTTTATGGATGACTGATTTTAGTATAAAGGAGAACACTTCTTAAAGAATATTCTGTAAGTAAATGTTTTGCATGATGCTCTGAAAGCAGAGGAGATCAGTTCTCACATGGTTCTTAAAAAGGATATACAACTATAAACTTTGAAGAGGTAATAAAAATATATGTAGAATGTAGAACAAATTTTATCTTTGTTTTTCAAGGCTACAAATTCTGCTTGTAGTGTAGACAGACCAATGTATCTTCTCTGCCGTGTTTGCACAGCAGTAAGGATTTTAGTTTAACGTACATGTTTTGTGATGTTTGAATTCTTTGCCCATATACCCCTAAGGCCTCCTCCAGCAGAGCTGAGAACAGGTTCTCTCAGGACAGTCAGAAGAGGATTAGGGACATCTAATAACCACAGAAAACTCAGAGCTCTAAGTATGAGAACAGAACAAAAAAAGCTTTAATGTTTTAAAGAATTAAAAATAAATGCTACATAAATTCATCCTTACAGTGAGGTATTGCTTAGTTCCAGCAGCTCACTTACTTTTGAAGCTAAAATACAGACCCTGCCTGAGATGAAGGCAATTTCCATTCCAAATCCTAGCTTTGCCAGTTCATGTTAAATGGCAAATCAGTCTGAAGGGACACTGCACACAAAACGTATTTGAATCCAACGCTGTTAATCTATTTTTCTTCTGTGCAGATCTCAAAACAATGAGTGAGCGCCTCAAGAACAGGTACTACGTGTCTAAGAAATTGTTCATGGCAGACTTGCAGCGAGTCTTTACAAACTGCAGAGAGTACAACCCCCCCGAGAGTGAATACTACAAATGTGCCAATATACTGGAGAAATTCTTCTACACAAAAATTAAAGAAGCTGGATTAATTGACAAGTGACACTGTCTTTTTTACAACCAAATAGTGTGCCTATGTTATGGACAGGGAAAGCTGTTCTATATATGAGTTGTGGACTTTTAAGAAACTTCTGTTTAATACTTAGCACTTTTAAAAACCCTTTTAGTTTTGCAAACATGTATGATACTGAAGTTACAAAAATTATTTTATTAAAATGCTTTATAATGTATTTAATTACGGAATATTTCTTTTGTGTGCCGATTACCTTATGTTCCTAATAAGTTTATCAGCTACAGCCTCAGAAACCCCACAAACATGGGGGAAGTTGCACATGTTTGGGAAGATGAAGAAAATTCCCAGACAACAGATGTTATAGCTTACCTAATGTTATAGCTTACCTAATGCAGTACCTATTTGATAAAGTTTTATTATTTTTTCCAGTAAAAAAGAAAATTGTAAGGGAAAACAACAGGTGTGGGGGGGTTCTGAAACACTTGTTTCTTTGTAGAATCTTTTTATAAGATATTATTTTTTAAAAGAAACACTCAGCTGGTTGAGAAGCTGTGAGAGAAGAGCAGTTAGTTCTGAAAAAGGACTGCCTGTGATCTTTGATAGATGCAAGTTTTTCTATTCATTTTCAGTTTTGATAAATATTTTACCTGCAAATTGTAATCTCATAACCACTCTTAAAAAGAAAAAAAGAAAAAAGAAAAAAAAATCTGTCTAGATGCGCAATGTCATAGTGACTTGGCTTATGCAGGACATAAGTACCCAAAATAACTTTAGAGACTACTTCGCATCTACTAGACAATTCTAATTGGCTCAGTAGAGTTAAGGTTTTGTGCTATTCATGATCCACTCTGCTTACTACTCCTCACTGCTAAATTCTTTAGGTTGTTCAGCAGAAATAAGACTATTGTACACAAAGGAAGACAATATAGGACAGCTTTGAGCTTAGATACTTGGCTCTGTGGTAAACTGGATTTTCTACCAAGCTTTATTGTAAATGCATATTAACCGTGATTATTTAGACCCAGGAACATATTAACATTATACAGCTCTTAGTATACCTTCCAAAGGAACACACACTCATATATACATAAAATATATATACATTTTGCTGCTTACACTACATTTAAGAGGTACACTTAAATCCTTAATGGAGATCAGTACAGGCCAAAAAGCTGTCCCTTAACATTTTCTAATTAGAGTTTGTAAGTTATAACTGCTTTTGTGAAAAACAGATTAAACTTTCATTCTTGGTGTTTTATATTTACAGATGTTATACTGGTAAAATTCAAGTTATGAGAGAGAAAACCAATGCTGTGCTGTGTCAAAGAATCTATTCCTGCAAAATGCCTGTGCAATGTTAGATCACAGATCAATTCAGCAAGGAGATGTCAGGAACTATCTAGAAGTAGTAAATGTGATACTCAAGGTATTCAAAATGTTAATGCTGGACTTGCCATCGTGTTTTGTATGAATTTAGTCTGACCTACATTGGGATCTATAACAAAGGTACAGTGAGTACTTTTTCTTTAATAGCCAGAACAGGATACTATAGACCTGTTTTGTAGATTGGGCCTACAGATGCACCTGTTAAGCTTGGTAACCTGTGAATTTTTGTTATTTTCAGAGTAGATTTTCTTATCGTCTTTCAATCAGATTGTCTCTTCTATATTGAAACGTGTTTTCTAATTTAAGAATTAATATTTTCATAGATACTGTGCAATAAAGTTATGGTAGGATATGTGGTTTTGCAAATGCTTTAACAGCTGATGAACTTTACATTTGTCAAATTAATATATTGTACTGGTACAGAATAGTTTTAAATTATATATGTACAAAACCCTACTTATTTTGGTCTCTTTTTTTCATTACTTGGTACTTCATCACTTCAATTTTTAAAGCTTGCTCAGTCCAGTGAGAAAAAAACAACCCAGACCCACCACACCTGCCTTGAGTTGCTCTACAATGACCCTACCCTTTTTCTCTCCCTGCTAAAACAGCTGCTGCAGATTTGTTTCCTTAAAGAGCACCTGGGGTTCACAGAACACCCTCAAGGATCATTAAGTGCACTTCTAACACGAATGGCTGATACAGGGATAGGACCCACAACCTTGGCATTATTAGGACGAGGCTCTAACACTATAGTTCAAGCACTCTGCTTAAGTTCCTCTAGTCCTAGAATTCCAGCCTGAGATGGTGAGGCCTTGTGGCTAGAATTTTAGGATACAAAGGTAAAGCAAAGCTTCCATTCAAACATTCAAAGGCTATGTTGTGAATGACTATTTTCAAATGCTTAGTAGCTGAAGCTAATATTAGTAGTACTGAAAGCCATGGAAGAAGCTACAAATAAAATAGTAAGTAATAGTTTCATTACTGAAAGGGAGAGATCTTGCACCTATTGAAGTGGGACAGGCAGATTTATAAAACAAAGGAAGAGCATGTAGTTTCTGTGTTTTCGCAGTAGGTGTTTAGAATGTAGCTTTCTTTTGGGTATTCACAAACCTATTAATACTTCAGTGTGTCTCAAGCAAAGTGGAAGTAGTTTGACTGGTGGACAGTTGAGAACACTGTTGTTCTCATATGCAGCCTAGTGTGGCACCAAATAGCACAAGCTTAAATGTGGCACTCTCCCTCTGGGAAAGGCACTGGGCAAAGCAGGGACAAAATTATTATAAACTGTTATGAATGTCCCACAACAGTTGGGATCCAAGTGGAGCCTTCTTCACCAGGAGAAATTTGCTTTGTTTCTGTCTGGTTGACACTAACTTGCACTCACTCAATGCAGGACCAACTAAGCCTAAATTGCTGCTTTTGAGAGCTGCAGCTACAGAATCAAATGGCAGCTGCAGAATTGCTTCTAAACAGTGCTTATGCCACCACATAAGATGGGGACAGAATACACAGGCCTGTAATGCCCACTGCTGACATTATTGTCCTTGGAGCAACTACAGAAACTGCCAAAAGAACAGCAATTCACTCAGAGCTGTTTCAAAAGACTAAGATGTTTATTGTAAGATTCTACATGAAACTACAGCCATCACATAAACAAGATCCATACAGTTATTAAAAATACTTGCTGCTCCAAACATTTGAAGTGCCTAAAGTTCACCCATACAATGACATTCACCATCTTATCCATCAGAGATTTCCCATATACTCCCAGATCTGTTCAAAAGGAGCTTGAATAGAATCACTTCAGTTATAAAAGTAATCAATCGGTATCATTAAAAATAAGTCACTAGAATATATCCAGGCCCCTTTAATCTGATGTCTTTAATACTAGACACACAAATATTTACATAATTATATAACATATTGTGCAACAAAATACTTCATCCAGGAAAGTATGAAGTATTTTGAAATGAAATTATTTTCTTCATGGCAGAAGCATGATTTTGCTGAGGACCTCAAAGACAACTAACCAATTTCTCACTGGATATTTTCATAGAATCTTATGAGAATGTCGCTTAACATCTTTTTTCACCTTGAAAATTGGAGAACACAGGAACTTTGTATCTGTAAATGGATCTCCTCTCCTGAGTTTCCTGTTTGAAAGAAAAAAAAAGGCAAAATGAGTTCTGTTCCCTATATCACTCAAAACAATAACTTTTAGCTAGTAAGGTCCATTTCACACGAACTAGGCTGTATTATTAACTTTAGAATTTGAGTTCTTTGAGCTCATTTTTTAAGGTCTTGTTTTCAAATCTAAATAAGCTTTTAAAATCCTCTATTGGATAGAACATAATGAACTTTATGTCAAACTGAAAAGTCAAGACACCTACGCTACAATACTTGGTTCTTTGTAGTTCACAGTAACACTACAGCTTCGCCTCTTGCGTTTCGGGGACTGAGGTCCTTCACCTTCAGGGACAATTTCTGCATCCCCAGTGCTGGGGAGTGCTGCAGCTGTATTGGTAACATCACAGAGATGCCCACGAGATGGCTCAGGAGGCTGCTCTGTGAAGAAATTAGGAAAAGTTCAGTTCATTCAGATAAGCAAGCTTTAAAGAAAATCTAACCGTTCTTAAAACATTACTCTTTTAGTTGCTATTAAAAAAAAACAAACACTAAAATAAAAAAGCATAAATCTCCTAAACAATTTTATCTTTCAAGAAAACAAAACCAACTACAGAACAATTTCTGTACTTACTAATGGACTTATCACTTGATTTGTTTTCAGTCTCTTCTTCATGACAGAGCTTCTGCTCACGCTGTGCCAAACATCTTTTAGACCTTGGCCTTGGATGGATTGGTGACATCGGGCTCTCATCCATTGAACTTCGCCTTGTCTTTGATTTACTCTTGTAAGGCTCATAGAGGCTGTCATCTGATTCCCCTGCAGTACTGCTTGACTCAATGGTATTGGTTTCACCTGAGTCTTCGTCATCCTCCACTTCAGTATCACTGTTGTTCACCTTGTTTTGTCGAAAAGGTGTAAGATGGACGCTCTCTTCCAAATGAAAGTCATAAGCATCACTGATGCCACCCACGAAATTCTGCTTTTCTTTAGAAGCCTCTTTACCCAGTTTTCCTGGTTTTTGTTGGGAAGTAAGTGGCCATTCCAGTTTTCCTTTCTGATGCTTTTCTTTCCTTCGTTGAGGGTTTTTTCTGCTTTTACACTCTGGTTGTTTAAGATCAGAATTACGTTTCAATTTGAACTGTGCAGTTTCAGAAGTTTTCTGCCTCAACACCAGCTCTGAATCAACTTTGCTTGCATTCAAGTGAGGAACAGCTGCCTTTATATTTTCTGTAGCACACTTCTCTAGACTTTCCTCAAGCCTAATTTCATCCTGCTCAGAAAGTTCTTTTACTGAATCAGGTGCTTCTAAACAGTCCAAGACATCAGTACAAATTACATCAGAGTTCCTCATCGTTGAAAAGTGACGTCTGGTGGATACACCTTTTGGTAACATGCTACTACATCCAAACTTTACACATGAAGAAACATTTTCCAGCTCTGGCTCTGTGCTGTTCAGATGAAAATCAGATGGCTGTCCTTGTAATTGAAGGGAAAATGTCATATTAAAGGCAAACAGAAAAACCTGCAAAAATTCTGAACCTGTCAAAAATGCAGACTATTCTCTGGCTTTTCTCCACAGATTTTTATAAACTAGGACTTGGCAATTGAGATAAGCTCTGCTTAATATAGCTTCCATGCAGAAAGCAGTTAGGTAATATAACACTGGTATTTTCCTCTAAACTGTTCCTTTTGGAAAGGTTATTCACAGATCATTTATTTTCCTGAGTATTTTGCTTTGTTAACAAGTTTTTATTGATTTCATAAATGCTAATGACTGTATAAAGGCAATTTTACTTGGTTGAACTGTTTGATAGATAATGAAACTGGACTGCAGCTATAGAGAAGATAAAGCAGTTTCAAATTCCTCCCGATTTTGCTGGACATCTTAATTTAAACAGTTTAGCAGTGGACAGCACTAGCATTTGCCCTTTATGACAAGAAGCAGAAAGATACTTATCAGTTCCTTTAAAATCAGCTAAAACTTGTACTCATACATTGTTTTCCTAATTCAAAAATAGAGCAATGTCTGATACTTGGATTTAGTTACCTTCACTTGGAATTATTTTGGTAAAGGAAATGTCACTGTCAGATTCCACACAGATCTTTGACAAAGAATTTCTGTCACCACCAGCTTCCATCCCACTTGGAAGGACGTCTTCAAGAACACACTTTAGAGGTCCTCTAGAGAAAATACCAAAGGTAGTATTTACTGAGCAGCAATAAAGTTTAACACAAGGAACAGTTTTCATTACACTGGGTTGCTTCCCTTTTTCCAGTCAGAAAATTAAACTTTGTGTAACAGATTTTTCCAAAGATAGACAGGCATTAATCAACGATACTTACATTGAATGTGTTGGTTCTGTGACACTGCAACCATTTCCAGGACCTGAAGAAAGCACTCTTTGATTCTGTCAACAAAATAAATCTTACTGTGATTATATGGCTGAAACAAGTTTGCACCATCTACAAATTTTAGACAACAGCCAAGTTACCCCAAAAGCACCAGAGACCCTTGACTCTCTTTCTGTCTAGCTAATACCAAGTGCTGTAGGTGTTAGCCAGCCACCTTCTCAGCCTCTGCACATCAGCACATTCATCCCCAGCTCAATCCTACAGCAAGCAGACAGGGGAAGGAACTGTGCATAAAACCCCAGAAAATCAGGGTGCTCCAACCACTGCCTAGCAGAGCCTCAGTCCCACTTATCACTTACTGAGACACCCCCACAGTGTGCACCCCGGGATGCTGGGAACTGTGGGACTAGTCCTTGCTCTGAACTAGGGCTCAGATCTAAAAATCTATGTGCAGCTGTGGTGGAAGAAGTGAAGGCCATCAGAAAGAGAAGTCCTGCTCCTCAAGACAAAAAGGCACTTACTACATCTGTGGAACACAAGTTCTTTGCTGGGCCAAGGAGAGCGACTGAGTCCAGTAAATTCTGAGAGACTTTGGAAATTATCTCATTCAAGGCTGACAGTCGGTTCTAATGGACAAAGGAAGAACAGTAACACTGTTACTATCATACTCTGGTATTAACTACAAACTTATCAGCATTACAACTAAAATCTGAAAAAACCTCTGTCAGGTGCCTTCACATGTGATAAGCTCCCTACAAAATTTACAGAAGATAAGACTTTAATTTTTGATAATTAAGATTTTATCTTTACTCTTTTTTATTTTAACTAAATGGGAAAGAGTAGTGAGAAAAAAAATTCATTACCATGTGTCAAGGTACCCAAACCAGCATACCAAGTTAGAAAAAAAAACCCACTGAACATACTGAGTTAATGTTTTATGAAACATTTAAGATCATAAAGATATCTATCAATTTAAGATCATAATATAGATAATCACATCTATCAAGGGATTGGTACAGATTCTCATGCTCAGCTTCACCAGCTCATATAGTTATTAAAAATACCTCCACACGTCCTTGTTCTTGCTGGAGCCTATGACTTCTTTGCAAGTCAAACATTTGAGCCTTCAAAATGTGATACTCTTTCCTTAGCTGAAGAATGGTAGCTTCAGCTTCCCTCAGTTTGAGCTTGTGTTCTTGCAAGGACAGAGCCAGATCTCTGTTGTTTGCTTGAATGATCTTCATTTGGTTGGAGGTGTTGTCTGCAAGGCAACAGTGAGTGTTTCAAATGGGATTGAAAAGAAAACAAGTAAATTGTAAGTCCTAAGACATTTAAGCATCTTACTTGCTCTTTTGGCCTTTACGGTGGAGAACTGGGTAGTTTTGCCCAGCCTTAACCATTTCTGAGTTCTTTTCTCTTTCATACGTTGTTTTATATCGCTCAGACTGTCTTTGAAGGACTTCCTCGAGGATTCTGCCATCTTCTACCTTTAAAAGCAGAGAGTGTGAGGAACTCGCGAAGCTGGGGTTGCACCCCCGACGCTAAAGGAAAAGGCACAGGGACAGACGAGTGAAGCTCGGGGCAGTTTTAAGCGCAAGTACACACACAGCAAAGCCCCACAGCCAGGAAAAGACGCGCAGCTCTGGCCATTCTCACCGAGGCCGCTGTCCCGACCGCGCGGTGGCTGAACTGCAAACGCTCGGTGCCCGCGGCAGGGCCGGGCAGGGCTTTAAACAACACCGGCGCCGGAGCCAATGGCTCGCTGGGGTCTCCTCTAAGCGCAGGCACAGCGCCCCAGCACCCCGCACGGCCGGCCGTACCTCCTCGGAAGGGCGAGGGCAGAGCCGGGCCCTTCCCCCCGACCGGCTGCGGCCGCCCGAGCCCCCGGCGGAGGCGGGACGGCCCGCACGGATCCGGGGGCAGCAGCGGCCTGGATTTTCCCTTGTCCCGCAGCTCGGTGCTCCCCCTCCGCGCACGTCCAGCTCCCCTCTCCCCGCGGCCCGGCTGTGCCCACGAGGCCCGGCTGGGCCCCACTCGGCCCCCGGGACGCGCAGGAGCGACCGCTCGGCCCCGCGGGGCGGCACCACCCGCGCCTGCCGCTACGCGTCGTTCAAACGCAGCCGCCGCCACCTCCCATTGGTGCGCCCCGAGCATGGCGTCACGCCGCTAGCGCCGCGCGCACCCGCGCCTAGTCCGGCCCACCTCCGGCAGCGCGTCAATAACCGCGGGGCGGGGAGCTGCGGGGTTGAACGGCCGGGCCGGGAGATTAAACTCCTTAATTAAACTCCTTATTTAACTCCTTAATTTGTGGTGCTTTATTGCCTGTGGCCGCTTCTTGCAGCAGTGGCAGGATGAGCCTTTCACGCTTTAGAGCTGCACTGTGAGAGTTAGCCACGGCCAGGCCGTGAAGTGTGGGAAAAGCGCGAGAGGAAAGCCAATGTCTTTAGAAACGATTTGATGGGTGAAGGTGTGGGTGTTAAAGTCTCTGAAATGAGTATTGGTATCTCTGACTTTGGCAGGAGGGTTGTTGCAGAGCCCAGGCAGCTTGGCTTATGAAACAGCCAAGCACAAGCCTGAGTTTCTGAACTTTGGAATAAAATAGTAGGTTCGAGGGGGATATATGTGGTTCGGGAAAGCTGTACCCTCCTAGAGTGCCTCAGCGATGGGCAAAGGGAGAGGGCAACACGCGGCCGGGAGTTCAGGATGAAAGGAGGCTGTGCCCCCTGAAAACCTCAGGAGAGAAAGCCCTGCATCTGTGTGTCTCAGTGGACGCTCTCTTTATTTAGAATAAAGTTACAAGACTCCTCTTGTCTCCTTTTTGGACATAAACCTCTCTGGCATTTGCGGATTTTCCTGACAAGTGTGAGGGAGCTTACATCTTCTGTGTGCTTATACACATCTTTGCCACAGTGTGCTGAACCTTTATTAACCACTGAGAGAAACGGGAGGAAAAAAAATCAGCTAAATTATGTCTTATTAACAGAATCAATGGTATTCTCAGTTCTATTAAATCAGCGTTTCATAGCTGCTACACTTTTTTTTCATCTTACAGCTATTCCTGATTTTATTCATTACAGCTTGGATGCGTTGTGGCAATCTGATTTCCAACTTGAAAAATTCTCATGGATCATGACACAAACCATGATGTGTGTGCTTTTGTCCTTTCCCACTCCTTGCAAAGTCGTGTAATTTTTGGTTTTGCAGTTCAGCCTTGAAGGCCTCATCTATGTAGTTTTACAGTAGTATGAATAAATATTTAACCTTCCTACTTCATCAACAGATACCGTTAAAGTTGGTGTTGCTTTCCTGTTAGCAAAGAAATTGTCCTGCAAACCCAGCCCTGCATGCAGTATGACAATTCCCTTTGGAGACATGAGATTGTGCAAAAAAACCCATATTTTCTTTAGGATTCAGCATGAAAAATTATGAGCAATTTACACACATTATAGACCCACTTCCTTACTAGTAACACACAAAACCATGCCAACCCACAATCTTAGTTTCTCACTGTGTGTTTTTTTCTCATCTGCTTGATGAACCTAAGCAACATCAACCCACCCATCCTTCCAGCCCCAAAAAACTCTCCCAAAACAAATCACAACTTCACAGGCCTGTGGGAAGAAGAAAATAAAAATTTTTAAAAATCCAACCAAGCAGCCAAAAAACCCCCAAACCACCTCAGTTTCCCTTCCCCTCTCTCCCTCCCCTGCCAAGCCAGAAGATAAATAGAGGCCTACTGGACATTAGGAACTACATAGTCTGTAGAAATGCTGGTTTTGTGCTTTTGTATGATTAGCTGCATATCCCCATCCCTCAGGCCTCTCACTGTTATAAAGGCCATAATTGGGCACACTCCTTCACTCAGCTGCAGCAAACTGTGTCACCTGGTCACCTGGAGCCTTGCAAATCTGTCTGTCTCTAAACATAGATAAAACTGTCTGGTTGAATTCAGCTTCTGGGGGCTTGGAGGCTGTGTTTTGTGAGTTTTTTTTTGGTTTTTCCAGCTAGGCACAACTATTCTAACCCAAAGCAATACCTTTCCCTACAAACTTTGTCTTGCTTAAAGGCAGCAGGTGTTTTGCATTTAGCCAAGTAGCAATTGATAGTTCCCAGCAGTGCTGGTAAGGTATTTTATCCATTAGTCATTTATTAGCTTGACACAAATACACTGATTGTGATTAAATGAACCCTGTTTTGATTAAAAAATAATGCTTTCCTCATTATTATCCAAGTGCTATTCTTTATTAAGTTTATTTTTGTTCTGACTACACTTATATCACCTTTTTTCATTCTGTTGTTTCCATCAATTTTTTACAGCTCTTTCAGAAACACTTTGGAATCTTTCTGCAGATTATCTTTTATTTCCTTTATTTGAATTTCTATATCCTGATAATCACATTTTCACTGGTACTGAGGTGTGCTCCTTTGTGCATTAGTCTCATCTCTATAGCCAGTTTTGTTTCTATTAGATTATTTGCAGGCTACACCCTGTGTATCATTTTACTTATTTATAGCAGAGGATTCCAAGTAGTGAATTTTTCTAGCTCAACTGAATCTTTGCTGTAAGCAATTTCACGTTTTCCTCTATAAAGATTGATGCTGTCATTGCTGCTAGAGTTGCTGTGGATTATTAGTTTATTTCTAGCGGGTGCACTCATGTGGCAAAACAGCTGCTGCTGTGACTGCAATTGCAGTATGGAAAGATGTGCTCTCATCTTAGATTTATTGTCTTGCATTACAAGGGAAGAGTTGCTTCAGATAATGACAGCAAATTACAGGAATCACAGCCGTGATTCTGGGAGCGTTCTGGATACTTCTTATCTGAGTTGCCTGGGTGTGATGTTACATGATGATGTCCAATACATTCTGTTAGGCCTCAAAGTTAGAAAGTTGTTTTTCCCAACTAAGCAAACAATCAGATATTAAATATCCTGTGCAGATTGAAGTAAGTTACTTCTATTGCTACCAAAACCAATGTCTTCAAATAAATGGAATTTTAACTTTTTGAGTGAATGCTTATGAGAGGCATTGATAATCCAGTACTTGATGGAAAATATTTTTAAAACTCTTACTGGTTTCAATAACAGGATGAAGTGTATGGCTCTATAGGAACAGATGTTTAGACTTGCTGTATTTAGTTTTTCACTCATTTTTGATGACCACTATAGTGTAGGGCACAGAAGAGCAGCCATGATGTGGTGACTGATGGCAGGCTTTTGTTGATGCAGGCAGCTGGGTAACCTCCAGATAACCAGCTTAACGACCCCACCCTTCTTTTCAGCCGCTCAACATCCAAGCCTACATCAGACAACCACAGTGGTGATGTTGGTGCTGTCTGGTGTTAACCATCACAGTTGGTGAGTTAGGATGGTAGATATGACTCATATTTTACTGCTTCTACCACAAAGAGGTGCATAGGTGGAAATCACAATGTATGGAATGCAGTGCATACTGTGTGACAAAAGGAAAACTGTATACTGTTATGTGTAGTACCAAATTAATGAGTCCTGCAAGTGTCCTGTTAGAGGACATCCTTAGAAGTGGCTCTTACACACCAGCAGTATTTCCTTCCCTTAGCAGAGAGAGAGACTGATTAGTGGCACACAGGACTGTCTTGCTTTCCATTACCTTTGGGATTTGGGAAGATCATTTATGTCTTGCTGAGGCAGCTCAGTTCTCATTTGCTGTGACATGCACACTGATGCTGCCTCGCGGTGCTTGGCCATTGGATGGCTCATTTGTGAGCTGCCTTCAAACTGTTCAGCTCTGATCAGCTTGGAGTAGGATGTTTGTTGCTATTATCCTCTTGGAAGTATCATGACAGGAGTCTAAGAATATTTGACGTGTGAGAACTGCAAGATGCTGATGCACACTCTTCTTCCTGAAAACAGAAAAGCAGCAAACATTTTTTGAAGAAGCTGGCACAGACATATTTGAGTAAATAAGGTGTACTAGCTTGAGCAAGTTTAGCTGAAAATCCTGTAGAAATAATGGCCTGGAAAGATTTTGACAACCAGAAAACCGATATTTGTCCTTCAGCAAGGTTTAAAAGAACTGTGAGCATTTTTTGGGTGCTTTTTTTTTTTTTTAATGTATGTCCCTATGTGCTATTTCTTTCACATTTCAGAAAGATATATCAAATTGGAGCCATAAGTTGCTTAAGTTCAGACCATTTCTATTGTGGAATATGTTATTATTATTACATTCTCTATTCTAAGTTATCCATAACACTTTCTAATTACAATGCTATTTTTTTTCTTTCTCAAAAATAACTTTGTTCTACTTACAAGCAAAACCACAAATAGAAGAGGAAAAGAAGCCTGAGTTAATTGAAGCATGAGGCAACATGGGTTTCATTAAACTAAAATTAATTAGCTATAAATCAGTATTCCTACATTAGTTGTATCAGTGTCTTTTTGATATAAATATGTATTCTAAATTGTTCTAAATGCATATATATACATAAATCTTTGTGTTCTAACTAATTCTAAAATGGTTTTAATTATTAATCAGTTTAATGTAAGTAAGGATGTGAAAGATTAATAAGTATCTTGATCTGTTTATGAGAAATATTCTAGAGACAAAAACATATGCAGTGATAATTATATGCATCAGATACAGCTGTCTTCCACTTTAGACACGCTGAATTATACATGTCTGAGTTGCCACCAAATCTTTCCTTTCAATGCCAGGGAAAATCCAGAATCCCAAAAGAATGTCTTAATCCATAGCAGTATGCAACAATAT